GGGGGGAAGGGGATTCATTCCCTCACAGGATGGACATCAGTTTCTGGCCCTCTGATCCAGGGGCCACAGAATAAAACTGCCCCCACATCAAATAGGCAGGCCAACTGCACTAAGACTGAAATGCCTCCATATCCAGACCACAGCATCTCTCTGAAGAGGAGGTGAAGGACATGGAGCTCAGAGCACTGTGTGGAGAAGCACATTTCCTCAAGACTTCAGGCACCCCTCCACCCACTGTTGCTGAAAGCAAGAGCTGAGGACCTCAAGGGCATCAGGGAACCCTCCACAAGGCTCTATGGGCTGTGGGTTTCCCAGGCTTTATTTAAAGTCCTAGCAGTCAGAAGCTCCACTGGGGCTTTCTTTACGTCCAGGTTAGTTATTAGTGCAGATGGTCCCCCTGCCATCTTGGTGCCAACTGAGTCTCTTCCCACATCATGAACACCAGGCATGTAGGGTTCACATATGACCCTGGACATACTTGGATCAGTCTAATAAGGAATCATTTCACAATCAGATCATACACGTGTCTCTGCAGCGCTTTTGCTATTTCTTACTTTTACTGGTACAAGAGAAATGGGGTGAGGTTATCAGCAGAAAGACAATGAGCAATGGCTAGGTTGGGTAGAGCTCAACCTCAGGGGTGTTGATGCCCTTCTTTTTAAGTTGTTCTCACTGACTTTTAGAAAATGGTCAGAAAAAAAAGGTGTCAAATGAAAGCATAAAGTCAGCTCCTTCTCCCCTTACTGATGGACACACTTTCATGTCCTCAAGTTTGGGGAATCCCACAATTATGAGAAACCCAGAGCTGGTAGATATCAACTGAAGAACAGAGTGACCAGATGAGTCTCCTGAGTTTACTTAAGATATTCTCCTGGCAAGGAGCGGAGGGAACGATAGTCTGGATTGTACACTCCCTGGAGGGCAGTAGGAAGGTCAGTGTGGACATTTCCATGTCATCACTTTTTAGCACCATGACTGGTAAACACAAAACGCTGAACCTGTTATATTAAACAACTCACACTGGTCCTTGCCTTTTTTAGGAACCCAGACACTGAGACAACCAGCACCATCTCAGCTCTCCAGGGAGTACAGGATGTAGGCAGAACTCAAGGCCAGAAGGGAAGGGAATTGGCTGTGCTGACCACTACTGCTCCTTGGGTTACGGCCTCTGCAAATCCTTTCTAGCTATATTCCAGGAGGAGAAGACCCGGTCCACGTTAGGAGTCAGCTGAGGCCACATGATGAAGAGCAGTGCAGCCTACAAAACATCACTATGTGAGGAGACACCCACAGACTTGCCTTCCCGGAGAGAGGAAGGCTCCCACCACAAACTTCCTTAAAGCCAGTGAGCCCCACAAGGAAGAGGAAGACATCAAGATAGAAGCGCTTGTGAAAACACAGCTCTGGCCCTGCCGGGCTGCCTTTAGACAGTGATCCCCACCCTTGCAGGCTCGGCTGCCACTCATGGCTTTCTCCACATGGAAGGCACTTCTCGGGCCCTCTTGGTTCCTCGTGAGTCAGGGCTTTGCCTGCTCTGTAATCCACTCTGTGAACGGACAGGTGGGAGGAGCCAGAAAGAAGGATCATGGAGATCAGGACCAGGAGGGCAGCAGGCCGGTGCCCTGGAGTGAGCACGGTGAGTGCTGGTCCCGTCGGTGTGAGTCTCTCCAGGGCAGCTCAGTGCGCGGGAGGAGGGGACTCCGGGGATGGACACCTGGTTTTCTGGCCTCCTGCTCCAAGGGGCCACAGAATAAACCTGCTCCCACATCAACTAGGCAGGCCAACTGCACCAAGACTGAAATTCCTCCATATCGAGGCCACAATACTTCTCAATCAGAAGAAAATGAAAAAAAAACCTGTAGTCGGGATCCTGGAATGTCCTCTCCTTTTCCAAGGCCAGAGGCACCACCTCCAGTCCCAGTCCAGTGAGAAATGAAGGCGGAGAGTTGAGAGGAGAGGATTCCAGTAGGAAGAGGCTGCCACTTAGTGATGCCCGCCATGTCCTAAAGCACCTGCAACAGAGGCAGCCTCTGAGAAGAAGGTGCCAGAGGGCTCCCCTCCCCGGCTGAGACCCCTAGCTCCCTGATGGGGCTGCAATCCAACCAGCATAAAGGTTTGGCTGACTGAATTCAACCCAAAGATCTCTATGGGTACCTACTGAGAGGTGGATCTTAGCCCCATGAGCATTCAACATGACTTTGGTGATATTTCTGTGCAAATTGTGAAAGGAAAAAAAAAAAAAATCCCTGCTGACGATGAGCTGAAACAAAATCCCCAGATTTGTCCAAATCATAGGCTTGCATCTGGAGGAGGGGCAGGAGAGGACCAATGAAGAGAAGGGAGAAAGCAAACAGAAAGGATGACGAGCAAGCGCCCAGCAGCTCCGTGGGCTCCTCCCGGGAGGAAGACAGGCCAGCCTGGTTCAAACTGGTTGGAAACTCCTGTCTCTCCAGGGTTGTGTGACAGAGCCCTCAGCTAATGCTCCCAAGCAAGAATAGAAAGAGGATCAAAGGACCCCTTCAGGAAGTATGAGGAAGTGAGATTCTGGGCTTTTCTTTATATACAATGGGAAATTTCCTCTGGCACAGGAAACCAAATAGTAGTGAATGAATGAATGAATAATGCTTCTTCCCCAAACTCAAGGCCTGGTATGACTGAAGAAAAGGAAGTAGATCCCTTGTGCAACAGTTAAGCAGAACAAGGGTAGAGAACACCATTTCCAAAGAAGACATGGTCCCTCATAGAAAACCTTCTCAGCCAGCTCTCGGGCTGAGATCAACCAGGGAGGCTCATGTTAAGATTGGACCAAATCTCCCCAGCAATAAGGAGTGCCAGGAAGTGTGTCATCCTAGAATAGCCCTTTCTCAGGTAATCCTCCTCCATGTGTGGTCTCCAAAATACCCACCTATATAAGAGAGACTCCTGTTTCGGTGGACACGGACCAGGACGTAGACTTGACCTCAGCAACAGAAACTAAACACAACTAGAGAGTTCCCTGGAAGTACCAGTCGTAGCAATACATATTACCTGCCGTGGATATTTCTCAAATCCCTTTTGTACCCTGGGTATCAAAAACAGTCATTCCAATTGTATCACCCATGAAAGGAGAAACTGGAAAGCATTGTCTTAACTTTGGCCCCACATCAGAGTTTGGCCTGATTAACTACTGACAAGTTAATAAGAAGGGAAAAATTAAGAGTCGGTTCCTTAGTATGGGAGTCAAACTAGTGAATAAACCCTGCTGTCTTCTTAAAACTGAAACCTGACTTGGGGTACTTATTTGTGTGCCAAAAACCTTTAGTATTTGAGAGGTCAAAAGCCTGACGGAGGGGGGTGGGAAATCATGCCATCCTTCTTTCATCAAACCCCATTTCTTCTGAACATCTGTGACCTGAAAAAGAGCAGGGAAGGTCCAGAGATTCAACGTTGAATACAAGGGTCAGCCCAGAACTGGCCTCTAAGATTGAGCGGTCAACCCACTTTAGACAATTTTTTGTTTTCCTATTCTTGGCCCTCAAGACTTCTCAAGTGTCTTCTTCCCAAGGAGCTGCTGCAACCTCACCTCCCAGGCTAGGTTGCAATCAAAGACACACTAAGAAAATACCACAGCCAAGCCCTTCTTCCCTGCCCCTTCTCGTATTTGGTAGCCATCTTCCTCTAAGACACCAGGCTACACCACAACCAAGACAGAGGCAGAGGGACCAGCTAGCACATGGAATCCAGGCAGCCCTAAGCCTGGAATCCCTTCAGTCCCAGCCTAGAAATGCAGGCTTACTACTTGTTAGTCAAGCCGGGATTGGAGGAGCTGCTGCATGCTCTATCTCTAACGGGGCGCCACTTTCTCCCTTTGCCCTGAGCAAGTGTGATGGTGGAAAGGGATTTATTTCCACCATGAGAAGAACAAGAAAGCAGCTTCTAGTTCATTATTTGAGGAGGGCACATGTCAGGGCTGGAGCTGTTTTACTCAAGGTTAAACAGCCAAATAAGAGGGTCATGGGAAGGAACTCAAGCAAGACAGGTAACCAGCGCCGGGGACTCCGGGGGTGATTTCTGCATTAGGCTGCTTGTCTTCCGTTTCAAGATCTGAATGGTTAACCCCTTGCGGGCATGGAGCGTATCTTATGTATCAGCTCCCAGCTCCCAGCTCCCAGTCGCGTCCTGGAAGTATTCGCACAAACGTGCTTATGTCCGGAAGGACAGACCATTGAAAGCTGCTCATCACAGGTCTGCTGTACCTAAAAGGATACAGTCAATCTCATGCCTATGAACAGTTTTCAGTGAAAGGGCTACAGACAGATTTCTGACTCTTGCAGCCTTGGTAGGAAATGGATTCCACTCACAAATCCAAGGGCTTGGCCTCAGAAGAAAAAAGGAGAACCAATCCATTATAGTAGCAGCACCCCCATCCTGGAAAGAGCAGGAGCAAGGGGTGCAGGTGAGGAGGCCATTCACGTGGAATCATTCTTAACCTCTGAAACAGGACATTTCCCCATTAACACACCCCATCTCTTCAGATTCCCAGTGAGTGATGTTCCCTGACACGTGACTGGGTGTGTTATGAGGTTCTTCCCCTGAGGGGTCAAGCTTCAGGGGCAACTGGCCCCTGCTTAAAACCTACTCATGTTTGAGTGGTGGGTATACACCCCTTCCTGGACAGCGGGATGTGATGAGGAAGAGAGGAGCGGGGATGTAAGAATACAACCCACCCGAAGGAGGAGGACACAGAAGGGCACCTGAGGAAAGGAATTCCGGGCACTTGGAAGACACATTTCTTCTCAATCTCTTGGACAGCAATCGATCTGCCACACAATCAGCTTTTCTTCGTCATCATGCTTTTAGCATGTATTGGGAAACAAAAATCTGCCAGAGAGCAAAACTAATCACGGCCCTGGAAGAGACCTCTCTAATCAACACATCTCTGTAGTAAGTGAACACTGTTTATGAAACACCCTGTTCGGCCCACAAGGATCCTAATTCAGACCCCCTGGCAGGCCTCTGGTCTAAGCCCTGTGATCCCAATCCTGTTTCTTGTCACTGCCCCCTGCTCTCCTCGGATCTCCCCCACCCCCACACCTCTTTATGGGGATAGCTTCATCTTGCTGCTGAAGCCAAATAAGCTTCCTCGTCCCCTCCATTTCCTCTGCAAGCCAAACTCTTTCCGGCGTTAGGTCCAGCAGAGACCTGCTCCTCTGCCCAGACCAACTCAGACTATCCAAGTCCATACTCAACCTCCCCTCCCCTTTCCCCCAAGCACCAAACTCAGCACTCAGCTTGAGGAGCCTGACTCCCCGCTCTTCCTCCATTGAAGAACGACTACCCACATCAAAGAGCTAGGATTAAGACGAAAATGGGGTATCTTCAACCTTTTCTCAGCCTGCTTACGTAACATTATGCTCTGAACCTTTTCAGACACCCACCCTGACAGGTACTGACCCCACTGCTGCACTTCAGCATGAGATACGGAAAAGACGACCCTTCCCTGGATGCACTGAGATGGGTGGTACCCACGGCCCCCCTTCACCTACAGTAGACATGCTCAATGTCTGTAGTAGCACCTTCCATGTTAGACACATAGCTAAATCACAGTGGCCCCCCAACAATAACCTCACTCCACCAGGGGCCTGTGAAACCCCAACTAGTGAATAAAGTCTCGAGGTGTACTCCAACTGGTCATGGAAATTGGCATGCTCAAAACAAAGGCTGGCTTTTGCCACTACATATTCTTGGAAACTGTTCTTCCTTTACACAAGCTTGTGTTTATCATATGGTTTTATTAAATAAGTCATTCAGTGAGTGCTGGGTGGGTTGGGGGTGGGGCGGGGGGAGATGGGCAAATGCTTTTTCATCCAGCATCCCTTAGACTGCTGGTTTCCAGACCTGTGCTGGCAGGAACTAGAAAAAGATAGTCCACAGTTAACTGTATTGCATTATTGGTGTCCCTCCAACAAAATAAAAATAAACCATTCCAATTTCATTGACTAGGAAAAAAGTCTATTAAAGTTTCTAACCAAGAGTGTCAACCAAAGGATGATGCTGTTCAGTTGTGAGGTTATTTTTGTGAAGGTCCTCCAAACCATGCCACTACATCTCTAGCCAACTTTTAAGCACTTCCCCAAACAGATCCACACTCTACCTTTGCTATAGGACACGGTTTTTAGGCTACAAGTTTGCTATTTGCCCTTTGTATCCTGTAGGGCACAAGTAAGTTTGCCCTAGATGCTGCAGCTGTGGAGTTCTAAGCACTGTAGTTTTATTCCACCCCCACCCCAGACAACAGTTGTAGCCATTTTTCATTTGATCTGACTTCAATAATGTTTTGCTTGGATTTTTCAAAATAAATTATTAAAGTGCTCTCAAGCTCATGCATCAAAGAAACGACCAGATGTGTGTCTAGGTTTAACGTGGTGATTTCGACTCGCTACGGTCTCCACGGCAGTAAAGCTGCACAGGTTCCCTGGCAAGCAGGTCAGCAGCCGCAGACCAACTGACCTCCCTCGGCAGCATGATCACCATTACTTCCAAGACAGCAGCAGTGATTTTGCATCCTAGTGCTCATCCTGAAAGTGTAAAGTAGATCTACTCTCAGAGGGCCTGGAAAGCAACTTTGACATAACCAGACTTGTCCCCTTTTGAAACAAAAATGAAATTTCACATCTGAGGTTATGCTATGATGTAAAGAGCAAGAACAAAGTATATACTGGACATGTGCCACTTTGTCCACCCTAAACAGCTAGTCTTTTCATGAAGAAAGGGGTTCAGTTCAGTTCAGTTCAGTTGCTCCGTCATGTTCGACTCTTTCCATGGACTGCAGCACGCCAGTCTTCCCTGTCCATCACTAACTCCCGGAGCTTGCTTAAACTCATGCCCATTGAGTCAGTGATGCCATCCAACCATCTCATCCTCTGTTGTCCCCTTCCCCTCCCACCTTCAATCTTTCCCAACACCAGCATCTTTTCCAAAGAGTCAGTTCTTTGCATCAGTTAGCCAAAGTATTGGAGTTTCAGAAAGGGGTAGGAAATCTCAAATCAAGACTTTGACTATAGCAAAGACAGCTCAAGGGGAGACCCAGTCATACCAACCCTCCCACATATTCACACAAACATGCACCTGCTACATGTGTATATTTTGTTAATACCAGCAGTAGCTGTAAACTACCTCCTAGATTTATTAAAATACACCCTTTTGCCCTAGACATAAAAGTGAAGGAATAAAATACAAATAGAGCAATTAAGTCCCATCCCTCCTGCAGCTCTGTTTAAAATGCACATAAAGATAATTAGGGAAAAAATCACTTGGGAAAAGCAATCCCCAAAGGTCAGCTGCAGCATAATATTCATATAGCTACTATTTAACACCAATGTAAGGTTAGGGAAAATATCCAAATTTCATATTAAACTAAATCAATTCCTTTCTCTCCACCTTTAAAGGGCGTAAATAGGAACAACATTCACCTTAATACAGGAAGAGCAAGTTTTAAAAATCCTGTGCCAATCTGTTTTTGTAGACGAACAGCATATAATACCCCAGTGGAATCACTCTGCAGGTCTCTTCATCAGAAACCATACAGCACTACCTTTTAAAGTTCCTATTTTTCTGCTGATAACAAGTTTTACCAAGTCATGACGGCCATCATTTTTATTCTGACCTTGAGTTCACTAGGAGGCCAAGAATGAAGGCCAGAAAAATATCATGTGGGAAAGATGGACCATCTAAACAACATGATATATGATGGTCTCTTCATATAACTGGAGGATAAAAAGCCTGATCTTACGCCTGTCCACCCCTGTTTTCTTTCTCCCTGTTCTATTTAGTGACATGCTTTCCAGAAAGTATTAGCAAGGGTGAGTCTTTTTTCCTCTCATCCTCTCTCACACACACACACAGGGCACAAAATATCAGCCCCTATCCAAGGACATGTGACCTCCACAAAAATACAGCCCCACTCACAATGTTCAACTTCCAAAAACTAAAATTCCTGCCCCAATTTAGGACCACTCTTTAGAAGATGATATCTCTTAATCCAGAGTCAAGAGCGAAATCAACTTTAAAAAAGGACAGAGAGGTTTCTGAATTAGGATGCGGTAGAGATACTAGTACTCTTGCCTGGAAAATCCCATGGACGGAGGAGCCTGGTGGGCTGCAGTCCATGGGGTCGCTAGGAGTTGGACACAACTGAGTGACTTCATGTTCGCTTTTCACTTTCATGCATTGGAGAAGGAAATGGCAACCTACTCCAGAGTTCTTGCCTAGAGTATCCCAGGGACAGGGGAGCCTGGTGGGCTGCCATCTATGGGGTCACACAGAGTTGGACACAACTGAAGCGACTTAGCAGCAGCAGCAGCAACAGAGATACTAAAAGGGAATACAGAGGGGCAACAAGAACTATGCTCTGTCTCAGAAATAAGACTCAGCCAGAAGCAGCTGGGTGGTGGGCCTAACAAGGGAGGCCAGGGGGTGGGGACCAGACCATCCATGGAAGCAAACACAATACAGGAATTCCCCAGCAGAAGGCAACAGGCAGAGACACAGCCATACAAGAGGCCTGGCAGCCATCAGTAGGTGAGGGGGCAGAACACTGCATCCTGGAAGACTGGCAGCCTGGGCAAGCATTCTGCAGCAGGCAGGGCCTGCCTGGCAGCAGGAGGATGATGCTCCTCATTGAAGACAGAGGCCCAGGGTCAAGACTCCCATATTCCAAGAGTGCGGGGAGATCCTAGCACATCGTATGGCAATGGGGAACATGCAGGAGCCACAAGGATAAAGGGAAAAGACAGTGACCTGCTATTGGAATGTGGATACAAGGCATGGGTCGTGGGAGGAGGACAATGAGCCGCCTGCCATGGGCTGAAGCTGACTTGAGGTTGAACTACTAACCTTAAATTCCCAAAACTGAGTACCTCCAGGCTTAATCCTCAAAGCTGAGGGACAAGGAAGGGGGTACGAAAATAATGACTGCACAATTGACAGCACTGTCCGCTGAAAATGCCCAGAGCATACAAATAACTAGAATCACCCCCCTCCATTTGCCCCGCGTCTTCAATCTGGATAAGCAACAGATATTTATTGAAGGTGCACTGTGTACCAGGTACCATGCAGGTTGGTTCTTCAAGCCTGAACAAGACCTAAACCCTACTTTCACGGTGTGGATGGCCTTGTGGGAGGGGAGCGGGGGAGTTGCCTCCTCTGTTCCTGCCTCTGATGTGGGCTTCCTAACGCTGGCCCCCGTTATTGTTCCCATTGCTTGAGAGGTGGGACTGTTTCGGCCTGATGATGCTTTAGGAAGGAGGGGAAGGAATCTATGCCAGACCGTAACCTTAACTCCGTGTCTTGAATAACACCTTTGAGAGGTTAAGGCAACAAACACAAATCAAAGGCAGGCCTCCCTGAGTCTCGGCTGTCACTGTCCGGGGCAGCTTCTGCCCTGCCATGATGAGGCATGTCCTAACTGCTCTCCCAGGTAGAAGCTGGGCGTAGACTGTTAAGGGACAGTTGGGGAAACCAGCTGCTACACCAGGACTCAGGAGGCACAGAAGTCTGGCAAGCCTGCCCAGGACCGGGGCGAGAAGGCAAGGTAACGCGCGCGCTCACCGTTCCCATGAAGCCGGCTTCAGGCCACGAGGCAAGGAGGGCTCAAAAGGACATGAGCTTAAAGAGAACTGCCACACGACCCAGCAATCCCACTCCTGGGCATACACACCGAGGAAACCAGATCCGAGAGAGACACGTGCGCCCAGTGTGCATCGCAGCACTGTTTATAATAGGCAGGACACGGAAGCCACCTAGATGCCCATCACAGACGAATGGATGAGGACGCTGTGGTACATACACACCATGGAATATTACTCAGCCATGAAAAAGAATCCATTTGAATCAGTTCTAATGAGATGGATGAAACTGGAGCCCGTTATACAGAGCGAAGTAAGCCAGAAAGATAAAGACCATTACAGTATACTAACACATGTATATGGAATTTAGAAAGATGGTAACGATAACCCTATATGCAAAACAGAAAAAGAGACTCAGATGTATAGAACAGACTTGTGGACTCTGTGGGAGAAGGCGAGGGTGGGATGTTTCAAGAGAACAGCATTGAAACATGTATATCTAGGGTGAAACAGATCACCAGCCCAGGTTGGATGCATGAGACAAGTGCTCGGGCCTGGTGCACTGGGAAGACCCAGAGGGATAGGGCGGAGAGGGAGGTGGGAGGGGGGACCGGGATGGGGAATACATGTAAACCCATGGCTAATTCATTTCAATGTATGACAAAAACCACTGCAATGCTGTAAAGTAATTAGCCTCC